ATCTTTTATATGCCCTATTGAGCAGTGTGTTTAGTAAAGTAAGCACATGCTCTATTGCATGCTGAACATATACTTATTTCTTGTTTCCTTTCACAGTACCTTCAGCCCACCTAATGGCTTATCTGTATTGTATATACTATCGTGCTAGGCTCCCAGCTCCTCTACATATATATCTGCTGTCTCTGCAATGCTACGTAAAGGTCACTCGCTTCCAACTTCCACCTGGTTACCACTGTATCCATCTATCCAAGTAAGTCTGTGTGAGCTTGTACCACCATGTGTATGCTATGCTTGACAGGTTATGAACCCCGGTCATTTTCCACACTAATTGCTGTTCCCGGGCTTGCCTGGTCACACTGTTGTAGATCTCATGATCACCATTGTTCTGTCTGCCAATGTCGCAGAGTGTTAGCTTGCCGTTGTACACATGTATGCCAATGTTGCAGACCTATTGGTCGCCATTGTACATTGACGAGCCGGCATCATGCTACATGGTGTTGCACATTCCGCCTGTATGCTTGAGGATTGACGCTGACGCTCTATCCAGATATCAACAATGTCTTCTGGCTCTTCTATCTTCACTAACCTCGTTCTGTCGCTTAACAGCAAGAACTATACACTCTTCTTGCAGCAGTTTGAGGCCTACCTCATGCAGTAGGGCCAGTTCTCCGTCATCGAAGACTACCTTGAGTATGACAAGAAGTCTATGTTCACTGTGGCTGGTGTTGGTGTTACTTCGCCTGGTGGCACTACCACCGCTGCCCCTGTCTCTATCACTGAGAAGTGTATCGATCATGAAGACTACTTTGGTTGTCTCACTAAGAACTATGTGAACCATCTCAAGGAGGACACTGACTGGAAGGCTAAGGACTTACAAGTCCGTGGCGCTCTTCTTCTGTGCTGCATCCCTGCCATCTCGAACAAGCTCCGCAAGGAAACCTGCGCTTTTAATATGTGGGTTTATCTCAAGAAGGAGTATGGCACATCTGGCACTGCCGGTGTCTACAATGTCTTCCTTCAGTTCCTCTACGCCACTATCCCTGCCAAGGGTAACCTGCTTCAGACTATTGAGCGCATTGACCAGCATGTTTGCCGCATGGCTGAGCTTGGTGTTGAGATACCGCAGTTCATTCACGCCATGGTATTGCTTTCCAAGCTCCCTTCTTACATGAAGTTTGTCCAGCAGCTCTCGAAGGACAAGGAGCTCGGCAAAATGGACCCTGATGAGATTAAGTCTTGGGCCATGAACACATACCAGGCTGAGTACGGTGCACCCAAGGCTTCGCGCTCTGACGGCGTGCAGAAGATTACTGCCGTTCATCGCAACAATGGTGCTCCTCAGTTCCAGCAGCAGCGCGGCTGCGGAGGCGGTTGCGGGCGCGGTTGTTCGCAGCAGCAGTCGTCGAGCCATGACTCCGACACGTGCAACAAGGACAACACCAAGCAGCGCACTCGCAAGCGTAGTCGTGGCCGTGGTCGTGGTCGTGGTGGCTTCGGCAACAACAACAACTCGCACTAGGCTAATGAGTACCAAGGCAACCGTTTCATTAGCCATATGGCTCACCTTGACGCTATTCCGGAGCCGCACGTCTTCAACACCGCAAACAACCCCGAGGAACCTCGTCTTTCCCTCAAGAGTGTGTATTCTTCTGGGCTGCTTCACAAGCCCTCGAAGACCACTTTCCATCCTATTCTCTCTAAAACCGTCAAGCTTGCAGAGTGACTTGGTGTCTCTGGGACTGCTGAAACTCTTCGCGTCCTAGATGGTGCTATTAATCGTCCTGAGGCATCCATCTGTGAAGTTACTCCGGATGTGTATGATAACCTCTCCGACAAGGAGCCCTACAGCACTGAGGAGCGCGACGACAAAGAGATCGAGGATACGCACGCCAACAAGTGCCGCCGCACTACGCCTACCCTCCTTCAACGTTCCGAGGACAACAACTTCATCGAAGAAGAGTTTATCGAGGGCTACATGCCCGATGAAACGTCCTTTGGCGAGGAGATGGACTTGGACAACGAGGTCACACAGTCTGTGGGCTTTCAGTCCCACAAGGGCAAAGGCAAAGGCAAAGCATATGTCAGTCCTACTTTTCTTTGCAACCAAGCTTACGCTACAACTGCAGCACTCGCTGATTCATTTGCATCTGTTGGTTTGGAAGCGGCACATAAGGCACCCAATAGCTTCATATATGGTTGTAACGATTCGGACTTGACTGCATACCTGTGTACACATAGTTTGGAATATAGTGCTTGTACTTCTTGCAAAGGAAAAGACAAAGCTGCAAACTCGCACAATCATGCACATTCCGACTCATGGTTACTTGACTCAGGTTGCACATCACACTTCACGCCCAATGCCGGCGACTTCATTGACTATATAAAGATTCATGAGCCGCGCACACTCACGACTGTGAATGGTGGTCACTCCTCTATCATTGCATGGGGTACCGTCTTGCTCTCTACGCAGGACACTCAAGGTCGTTCTACGACCGTCTGCATTGGTCCGGTTGGACATGTTCCAGGACTTGCAGATTGTCTACTATCTCTAGGTCAATTTCTGCACCAAGGCATGACTGTTGAGAGTAATGCCATTCAGATACGGCTTATACGCGATGGGAAGATCTACTTGCGTTTCGACACAGATCCTACCAGGCCGAATTACTACATTCTGCCCGCCTTGTCTGCTTATGCTAAGAGCATTCAATACGAGCTGGTCTATGCATTGGACTATGAAACCATGCACCGCCGTATAGGACCCACTTCGCGCGACGTTCTACATCAAATGCGCAAGAACACTGTTGGCTTCCCTGAAAACATAAACATCCCAGACGAGAACCCAGTGTGCAGTGGATGCGCAAAGGGTAAAACACCTGCGCGTGAATTTCCTGCCCGTGAAGAGTGCGCTGACAACGCGTTCGACCTCATTCATTCCGACTTCAAAGAGTTCTCCACCCTGTCATATGCCAAGTTCAAGTACGCCGTAGTATTCATTGATGATCATATGTCCTACGCATGGGTTACACTTCTCAAAAAGAAGTCAGACGCGCTTAATGCCGCCAAAAACTTCCTTGCCATGGTCGAGAGTAAATTCAAGGCTAAAGTGCGAAGCTGGCGCTCCGATTAAGGAGGCAAACTGATTGGGAACCTCAATCTTGCAGCGAAAAAGTTCTTGCAGATGCTCTGCGATAAGGGCATTGAGGTGATCACTGGTACTCCGCACGCTCACCAACAGAACGGTTGCGCAGAGCAGTTTATCCGCACTATGTTGGAAAAGGGGTAGGCTCTGCAATTTCAAGCTAGTTGCCCTCCTTCTTGGTGGGAATTCTCTAACCAGCACACCATCCATCTTTACAATAGGACACCTATACACTGCCTTGAATGGTTGACGTCGTACAAGATGCTTTTTGGTGAGACTCCGGGCATATATAAGCTGCGGGTCTTTGGATGTGGTGCATACATATACATTCCTAAGGAAATATGCAAAAACACCCAGTCACCAAAAGCGGAGCCGATGATCTACTTAGGCGTCGCTCCTGGCAACCTTAACAATTGGTTGTTTATGCGTCTCCCCAATAATGTGCTCTTCACATCCACTCAGACAATCTTCGACGAGAAGCTGTTTTCTCGTGATAAGGAGCAGTTGGCTTGGCACCCTTTACCAGCCTCATTGCCAGTCCCAAAGTGGAAGAAGTCCTCGAAAGACTCTTCTCCACCACTGGTTGACAATGATGACAATGATTTTCTGTCACATCCTCCCAAAGAACCTTCCCAAAGGAGGCTGGATAGTTCAGATGACAGTCAGAACTCGCAGACACAGTCGCGTGCTTCGTCTCCACGGAGTAGTCCAAGCCCGCCACCACCGCCTAGGGAACCCACGCCCCCACCAGTAGAGGAAGAACCTCAGATGGGACATGGAAAGCGGCAGCGGACACAAACTAAACGTGTCAAGGCGACACAAGGGTGAGAGCCAGGACCACTCAGAGTAAGCAGATAAGAGCAAGCAAACAAGTG